TATATATTTTAAGACGATATCGAATTCGTCACTGAATTCCCATGTTTTTTGGGACACCCTGTATAATAATTCTTTTCTCTTCATAGATGTACATAAGTTTCTTCTATAACTATGTATATATAAGTTTCTACGCACTAGTTTCCGGGTTTAAGATCTTGTTGCCCCGTGGGTTGGATAACGACCCGGGAACGAGCACGGAGAGGACGGTTTCGAGGCTGTAGGACGGAGTTTTGAGCCGCCGAGTCTGGAGTTGGTTTGTGTCCTTTATCTTCAACTATGTTAACAAACTGTAGTGGGATTATTACGAAGATAATATAAGATAAAGCTTGGTAAGTTCTTTGATTTATGGTAGCATGAAAAATATAAAAAATTGAAATAAGAATAAAATTCAAGATAAAAAATGTAGGATTTTGAGAGTTTTTTGGGTATTAAGATCATCCTGAGCTACAAGTATAATTAGAATATCTGAATAATATTGTTTCCATTAAAAAAAGATTAAAACAATTTTAATCTGATTCTAACCCTTTATTTTCCCATCCCTTATCCCAATGTTCACAATGTCCTAATTTATCATATTTACGTTCTAACTCCTGGTGTCATTGTCCTAATTTACATTTCCCGTATTACTTTATTTACCGACTTATGACCCAGATTACTGATCCATGATTCCCCCAACAGAGGGACGTTAAGTTACCTAACGTCCTTTGGGACAATTAAGTAAAATAACGACCCGTTCTGCGAAGTTTTCATAAAAAAATCTCGAATTTTTACCTAAAAAGACGATAAAGTTATGTAACTAGTTTTTCGGGAAATCAAAAATTTTACTTAACCACGGTTTCCCTCGACCTATTTGCAAACAAAACATTCCTTTGCTGCGCTCTGGATGTTTTGTAGGCAAAATTCATCTTGGGAACCCTTGGTAAAGTAAAATCCCCTTGGAACTTCTCTGTAAAGTAGTTGTACAAATTAATATCCTCGTCTTAACTCCTGATGTCCCCATCCTAACTTCTAATATTTGTAAGCTCCCTCGTCCTAACTTCAGCTAACATCGTCCTTACACCAGCTAACCTCGTCCTAACTTAAGTTAACCTCGTCCTAACCCCAGTTAGCATCTTCCTAACCCCAGTTAACATCGTCCTAACTCCAGCAAACATCGTCCTAACACCAACAAACCTTGTTCCTAACACAAGCAAACCTTATTCCTAACTCCAGCTAACCTCGCCCTGACACCAGCAAACCTTGTCCTAACAGCAGCAAACCTTCTCCCTAACTCCAGCTAACATCGTCCCAACACCAGCAAACAATCGTCCTAACTCCAACTAACCTCGTCCTAACTCCAGCAAACAATCGTCCTAACTCCAACTAACCTCGTCCTAACTCCAGCAAACCTTGTCCTAACTCCAACAAACCTATGTCCTAACTCCAGCTAACATCGTTCTAACTCCAGCTAACCTCGTCCTATCTCTAATTAACCTTATCCTAACACCTACTATCTACTAACTAACACCTACCAACCTACACAATCATATTTTTGGCTAACACTATTCAAACTAACAGAACCTGAAAGGCAAATTAAATTTTTCCGGCTTTGCACTTTTACCCTTAAATGGACAAATGAAAGTGAAAAGTATAAATTTAAAGTTTAACGACCCTTTTTAGAATTCGTGAACAGTTCTTTCAAAAATCGTCATAAATACTGTTCTTTCCATGTAGAAGTGAATTAAGTTCAGGTTTTTGCGCAATCTATGATTTATTTAACCACATAAAGTGAGACCCGAGAAATCATTTTTGTGGCAAAAAGTTTAATAATTTTACATTGTTGACACTATCTTCCTCTCTCTAGCCGTTTCTATTCTAATTTCATTCTTTTC